GAATTGTCAGGTTCATGCAAAGAATATTTGTATTTCTGTTTCCATGTCTACGCCTCTTGTGTGTGGCCAAATGTTTATTTCCAAGGTTGTCAAGTTTGTAATTTATATGGAATCTAAATTCACTTCCTTGTCAGCCTGAATCTCTCAGTCAAGGGAATGAGAATGGGAAGACACTCCACGTAGTAGGAAGAGTGACAAAGGAAGACTGTGGTTTCCTTTTATCACTGAAGCCTCTGTGCTCTTCTTGTTAGTGGTGTGGAACAGGATTCAACATTCAGGAATTTAGGGCTCCATACTTATCTTGCCAGAACATTCTGCCATGAATTTAAGGAAATCACTTAACATGGAATCTTGTTCTCACAGCAGCTCATGGGAGTCTTGCCATGAAATTTAGTCCTTTAATAAAGAAAAATGTAAAATGTCTCCTGTATGACATCAGAGAAGAAGCACTTTGGGGCAAGATTGTTTCTTGCTTTGATTGTTGGTGGACCTTTACTCCATCATGGAACAAGAATAACAGCTATATAATTGAATGAGAGAGAGAATTTAAAGCTCTGCTTATGGGAAAAGAAAAAAATGTTTACCTTTGCAAAGACAACTGGCACACACCTTACAAGCTCTTCACAGACCGTGAGCCAGAAGAGAGAAACAGGAGTGCAGAGCTCTGAAACCAAGGAGCCAGATTGGTGGCAGATAGGGCAGACTGATTTAATGTTACACGAGGTCAAAACAGAAACTTTAGCATCAAAGAAAGGAGGAGTGCTGCGAAAGCCCAGCGCTCAGAAGTAGCACTTACCAGAGGTATCATATAAACTTAACCCTGCTGTCGTTACTCCTGTTGGAAGGAAAGGAGGTGAAGGCCACGACCTGTGAAGCAGAGGTCAGATGTTACAGACCATCAGACAAAGGAAGTGACAATGGGGAAAGGTTCCTCTCTGAAGCACTACCAGATGGTGGCTAATCTCAGTCAGGGGAAAAGGCACGGCCACCAAATCTACACCAGCTCCCTGAACCTGACACTCAGGCATTATCAAGGGAAAAGAATGTTCTTCCAACTGTTGCAAGACAGACTATGCAGTGCAACCCATTCAGTTAATCACAATGCTGTGCTGATTTGAGGCAGAATTTTCCAGGATCAGACATACAGCATGTATTTGCTTGTTAATTGTTTCTGCACAAAAGCTGGAATATTAAATACTCTGAAAATTTCTACCTTGGTGGAAATTTTTCCTCTTGCCCCTCTGATTATTTGTGAAAATATCTTTGTCTCCTCATGTAGAAGAAAGCATAGTTAGATGGTATGAACTGGCAGAGCTCTTGGATCTGTACTGGGGTCTGTCCTGGAGACTTCTTTCACTATAGTAATGGTGGAAATGTTGTCTTTGCATTCAGCTGCAAATTTGTTCACAGATTTACTAAGGAATTTGTGCTAGCTGAGCTCAAATAGGACTCCAGCATTTCCGTGTATGTCCTGGGGATGTTGAAAATACAAATGGAGATAGAGGTGGAGGTGAGCTTTGGAGTCCCAGGGAGGAAGGCATCTACTCGAGGCTGTAGGGCACAGACCCGAGAATGGAAACCTAAATGCTTCTCATGGGATTCATCACTACATGGGCTGCATTTAATCTTGTCTGAGCAGCTTATGTTTTCACCATGCTTCTGTTTCCCTGCCTGGGCCAGAAGGAATAGAGGCCCCATTGTTGTGAGCAGCTGCCCCGAGAGTGAGAGCCGCGTGCAGAATGCAGAGCTGGGATGTTGCTGTGCCCAGAGAGAGCCTCGCATGACAATGACAGCCACTGGGTTTGTGTCCCTTCCAGCCATTTCTCTATACACAGGAACAGGGGGACTGTGCTCTTGTTCTGTCTGTTCTGGACACCTCAGTGGTGTGGTTTGAGTCCCTCCATTTGGCAGAGCGATCCAGAGGTCTGAAAAAGTAATCCAGCCAGAAAAAACTATTAAGGACCTTCATGAAATTCAGTGTGTGCTTAAGTGCTGAGTTGGGTCTTTCATTGCTGCTATGGTCAGATCTCCTCAGCATTATGTAGGTAATACTTCACATGCCTGTCACTCCTTACCTTAATATCTGGTGTTAATGTGGTGTTACACCAGATATAACCAAGGTCCTCACTTCTTGTGGACTGCTTGGAACAGGGTGCACAGGAACACACTTCTTCAAATAATCCACTGTGCAATGCCTCTGTGTTGGTATCTACCAGGAACAGCATCCTGTAGGCTGCCACATGGGATGTGCATTTCTGAACCATGGAAGTGAGCTGCAACACAGTTCAGGGAGTTGCAGCCAGGAGGAAACAAAACCCTCCTGAGGCAATTGTGGTACACCCTCGAATGAGCTTGCCATGTCCTGGGAAATGTCTTCCCAACCACTTTCTGGCCATCTCAGCCACAGTGTCATGAAGCAAGGATAGGAATACAGCAGAAAATACAGGTTTAACCCATGGTATGAGCTATGAAACCACTCTGAACTCATGTTGCTTTTGCTGTTAGTAACTTTTAGAAGTCCTGCTTCATCTTTCAAGTTGATATATCAGGGTTTTCCTGTGCTAAATGTGCAAAGCTAGCCATGACAGGAAGCAGAATTAACTCTGCTTACAATGAGCCTTTTCTCTCTTGACAAACTTGAAATGCCCTTCAAAATGTGGGTCTCTTGAAGCTGGGGCATCTTCTTGATTTCTTTTAGGTGTCTTATTATTGTGTGAGATGGACTCTGCAGGGTAAGCAATCCTTTTAATGAGAATAGGCTGTTTCCACCACCCCACCCCTCCACCATACTGGAACTGTTTATTAGGACATGGCCACAAAGTGACATTATTGTAGAGCTGCAGCAATAGGACAGAGTTGGCTGGAACTCAGAGCTTGAGTGAAAACTTTCAGTACGATTTCAGATTTTGTTTGACAACAGAATAGGAGATTTTGACTGAAATGTTTCTGAAATTAGCAAAGCCCTCACCCACTCAGAGAGCTAAATATGAAAACTCAAATTTTGATGGGGAAAAAAAAAGTGATGACATTTTCCTTCCAGATTTGGATCAGACCCAACAATAAACTTCACTTTTTATAGGACCCAAATAGTCATGATAGGAATTAAACTGCATATAGATCAGAAATAGAAAAGACAAAAGACTAATAAAAGTATCAGATACATACAAGGCAGAAAGCTGAAAAGAGCAGAGAATAAAATGAGATAAAGGAGGAAAGTACAGCTTATACGGGGAAAAATGAGAACAGAGTAGAGATGGAGGCACAGATGTGAGTGGTCATGGGGCAGGGCAGAAATGCTCCCACCCCTGCCATGGAGAATGCAGTCATGAACAAGGCAAGGAGTACAAAGCATGGATTCTGGAGCAAGTCCAGGGGAGAGAGACCAAGCTGGTCAGGGGGATGGAGCAGCTCTGCTGTAAGGAGAGGCTGAGGAAATTGGGATTGTTCAGCCTGGAGAACATAAAGCTTTGGGGTGACCTCATTGTGGCCCAAAGGAAAGATGGAGAGAGACTCTTGACAAGGGCCTGGAGTGACAGGACAAGGGGGAATGGCTTCACACTGACAGAGAGAAGGTTTACATTGGGTATAAGGAAGAAATTGTTCCCTGTGAGGGTGCTGAGGCCCTGGCACAGGGTGCCCAAAGAAGCTGTGGCTGCCCCATCCCTGGCAGTGCCCAAGGCCAAGCTGGATGGAGCTCTGAGCAAGCTGGGATAGGGGAAGGTGTCCCTGCCCATGTAAGAGGGGTTGGAATGAGATGGTCTTTAAAATCCCTTCCAAACCAAACCATTCTGTGATTCTGTGATTTTATGATTCTGTGATTCTACTTTTCTATGATTCCATGATTTTGTGACTTTGCACTCTTTGTGCACGAGGCCTGAGGCCTTGGGAGGTGCAAACTGGGAGCAGAAACCGTCCACTGGAGAGGCAGGAGGTGTTTTGGGAGAAACCAGCAATACCTTTGACCAAAGGAGCCGGCTGGGACCTACAAGCCAGAGGTTTACTGGCTTCCTTTGGTGTCACTGACCCAGCTCTTGCTTCTCTGACTACAAAATGGAAACAACAACTATCATCTTGTTTATCTCCTGAACCCCTTTGGAAGCAGCTCAGGGTTTGCCCTGGGTTTTGCTCCCTGTCTCTCCATGCTCCGTGCCGGGGATCCCGGGGTCACCGCCGTAGGACAAAACAGCGGGAACAACAATAACTGCGCCGTCCTGGCACAGGAGGGGGGACGATTGTTTGCAGCCTTTGCAGCCCACAACTGTTGGTACAAATGACAGATACAATCAGGCCTCGGAGTTTTCCTTACATTTCTATGTCTGGGGAAGGGTGTCAGCCGCTGTTCTCAGCCACTCTGGCAAACTGAAGCTAAAGATTCGGGCAGGTGGGGGAGAGAGAGAGAGAAATGCATTGAATTGCCATCGAAAGAAACATGCATAATTTCTAGAAATGCTTTGTGTCACTTTCAAAGATCCGACTGGGAATGCAGCTTATTCTCTGGCCAACACGTTTCCTTTGCAAAAGACACAACTGGTGTACTTTGGGGTCTTTTTAGTCTCCAGCAGCAGCCAGTACCTATGTTTTCTTTGACTGACATGCCTGTAAGTTCAATCAGCTGAAATGGTTTATGTGCAGCAAGGGGTGGGCAAGTTCACATGGTACTCTTAAGAGGACCTTGGGACAAACTGTAGTCTCACTGATGTAACTGGAGGTTCTGTTTCAGATCTCTGCTGATCTGAGAAGGATGGAGCAGAAAAAAATGACATACTTAAACCCTTTTGGTAGAAAACAGCACGGGAAACAGAGAAAATAATGTAACATTCCTCTAAAGCCCCATTGCAGAGTTGTGGTTAAATGTGATTAAAGTCCTTATCCTCCCACTGCCTTTACAAGAGTATAAAAATGGTACCTCTGAAGTTTTGCTGGAGTTGGACTTATCAAAGAACAAACAAATAAACCCCTGCAATAATTAATCACTCTTACTTAATAGTAAAAGTACCAACTTTAAATCCACTTCTTTTATTTGCCATGGTTAAATCTAGGGTTTGACCTCAACCAATGATTTCTTTTTTTCTGCCTAAGCCTTGATGTGTTTATGGCACACTGCTTGTGGTGATAATCATACTTTCAGTAGCAATATCTCTGCTTCAAAGCCAGGTCTGTCATCTCTTTTCACTGACCTCAACAGTTTCCTGAGCAAAATTCTGTGGATAAAACAATAAATAAAATAAGACTATTTTAAAAACAGCCCAAATCCAAACATCTTTCTGAAATGATTTAAATTTTTAAAAAGAATGTATCTTTCTTGTTTTACTCTGCCATTATATCCACCAGTGTCATCACTGCATGGTTTCCACTGAACCAGACAGACCACAAAGCCTAAAGCCTTTATCCACTTTCTCTTTGATGAACATTCAGTGCCTTGTTTTGGAATTTTGTTTCATTTCTTTCATTGAGGGAAGTGCTGGCACCATCTGCTGGGACTTTTGTCACTGCAACCACTAAAGAGAATCAGAAAATGGGTTGGGTTGGAAGGGACCTTAAAAGATCATCTCATTCCAACCCCCCTGCCATGGGCAGGGACACTTCCCACTGTCCCAGGTTGCTCAGAGCCCCATCCAGCCTGGCCTTGGACACTGCCAGGGATGGGGCAGCCACAACTGCTTTGGGCAACCTGTGCCAGGGCCTCAGCACCCTCACAGGGAACAATTTCTTCCTAATACCCAATCTAAACCTGCTCACTGTCAGTGTGAAGCCATTGCCCCTTGTCCTGTCACTCCAGGCCCTTGTCCAGAGTCTCTCTCCATCTTTCCTGTGGGCTCCCTTCAGGCACTGGAATTTCACAATGAGGTCACTCTGGAACCTTCTCCTCTCCAGGCTGAACAATCCCAGTCCTCTCAGCCTTTCCTCCTGTATGAGGATCTCAGTCCTTGCATCTATAAATGTACTAAATATTCCCAGTTTGGCTAATATGGCTACTTTTTTGTTATTATTTTTATTTTTTCCACACCTGTGCTAGATTTAGATTGCATTCATCAGACTTCAGCAATTCCCTGCAGTCCTGGGTCCTGCCTGGGTTTGGGGAGGCAACTAAAAAGTCTTCTGTACAGTTTGGTGCTGAGACTAAGCAGATTAATGAAGGTGATGGGACAAGGTTTTAAACTGAAAGAAGGTAAACTCAGACTAGGTATAAGGAAGACAATTTTTTTATGGTGAGGGTAGTGAAACACTAGAACAAGTTGTCCAGAGAGGTGACGGATAACCATCCCTGGAAATATTTAAGGGCAGGTTGGAGGAGACTCTGAGCAACCTGGTCTGTTGAAGATGTCCCTGTTCACTGCAGGGGGGTTGGAGTAGATGCCCTTTGGAAGGCCCTTTCAACCCAAATAATCCTATGGTTCTATGATTCTCTGATTCTACCGACTTGAGTCCTATTTTCCAGCTCCTGTATAAATGGATTTGATTTGTGAAGGAGGCCACTGAGTTTAAATGGAGAGGACTGAGATGAAAAACAGCCTCAAAGAAAGACTGAAGCACTTCCTTAATTTGTGTAAGATTCAGGAAACAGGGATCATTCTGTAACAATATTACCAAACTCTTTTTCTGTAGATCTCAGAGCAAGATTTTAATAAGCTGAGAACAACAGAAACAGGTAGTCAAATTGGCAAAGATGGTTTTATTACACTTTCACTCTCAAATATAAGCTTTTAACTGGAAATTATTGTAGTCAATAAATCTAGGAATAACTACAAAAATTAGATTCACAAGATTGCTGGAAATGTAAAACAAAGAGAATGTCTAAAGTACAATTTATGTTTCTATCATATCCCTCATCATTTTTAAATGGTTATTGAAATACATACAAGAATATGTATATTTTGTATGCATATAATATATAGTCATACTATGAAATACATTTGTGTATTACATATATTTTGTATATTTATATATACTATATATGAATAATATAATGACATGGAATTGTCAAAGCTTTAACTCCTAAACATCATAACATATGCATTTCTTAGTATTTTTAAAATTTTACTAGCTATCTTTACTCAGTATTTTATGTCATGAATTAAGAGATAATTAAGTCCTTATGATAGGTGATTCACACCGTAAGCCTTAAATATATATAAACCTGTTATATTTTGAGGACAACCTCCCATTTGAATCCCCAGCTTCACCAAGGAAAGGGTGATTTTTTTTTTCCATGGATCCAAAGTGAAATTACCCAACTTCAGGGTTCAAAAGCAGTTTTTAAGGTAGTACACTGGAAACATCAGAACAAAATTAATTGAATGAGCATCCCTCTAGGGTGACAAAATCCCTGACTCTGATTGCACATGTCATCTAAACCAGATGAGCAGAAACTTTCTACTGGAAGTTACAAGTCTCTCTGATACTCTGTACTGAGCTGACCACTGGTGATGGCCAATCCCTGCAGAGAATTGCCATTTTGGGGCATTTTCAAAAAGGAGCTATAATAGTAGTGTGGTTGAATATGGCATATGAGGTCTTATTTTGAAGCTGAATTTCATCTACAGTATAAGCATGCAGCCACATTTGGAAAACTTGAAACTGGGCAATTCCCAATCAAGCTTAGCTTTCTGGTTGATTTTGTTAGTTTTTCAAATGTTAGTTTGGCAGATTTTAAAGCATCAAAACAACTTGATAACAGCTGATGTAATTTGGCACTAATAATTTGAAGCAGGTGCCAGACCTACCTGCATGATGCACTCTGAATAGGGCTGTTGGGGGAAACAGTGGCAGCACCTGCCAGTTCGTAGGAAAAGTCTGACCTTCCATTTTTAGGCTCATTTCTTCAGTTCAGTCTGAGACACTGCTCACTGCTTCGTCCAGCCTCATCGCCACTGGACTGTGGAGCACATTGTCCTGAGGAATCCGAGGGCTCCGGGCAGATGGAACGGTGATGTCATCTGACTTTTCCATTTCTACTTCCTATGAACATTTGCCTTATTCTTACATGCCAGCTCTTTCTCGGCATGTTTTAGACTAGAAACATTTTTTTTTTTCTGGGTGTAGAGAAGGAATCACTTCTTTTTGATTTCAGACAAGATCTGGCAAGTGAGCTCTTGTTGCTAGTCAAAGAAAAAGCCTTAAAAAAATTAACACAGAATCTGTGTTTAGCAAAGTGATTTGCATAAGCTGTACACTTGGTTCTTAGAGTTGGAACGGTTCTAACCTATGACAAATTCCTCTGTCTGGGCTGTCTTCCAAAATCATTTTCATCTACCCTGGCAAAAGAACTGAAGTCTGCGTTCTGCACTAATTAAAGGCCTTCAGGAGAAGGGCCCCAGATGAAATGCTGACACACTTTGTACACGCTTTATTTGTGAAAGGGGATACTGAGCCCATTTGATGGCGCCTCCTGCTCCGTCAGGCCGTGCAAAATTTTAAGTGGGGAAACAAAATGGGCACAGTTATGTCTTGTTAAGGTTCTGAGTTACGAAAACACTGCAGTTTTCTCCATTAAAAAGCATGATATGGAGATTTTTTGATCTTTGAATAACACTAATAAGCAGTAAAAAGGCTAAAACCCATGGCAGTTCCTTAGTGAATATGAACTGACATTCCCAATTTTTATTAAGTACTATGGCTTAATGGAGCTGAGTCTCTGTCTCCCTAAATATCTTCATTTTGGAAACAGCAGAATATACACCCAACATCTCTTTTACATAAAACTGGGAACTGCTGAAAAGGGAAGGCGGGGAGAACAGCTGTCCCAGTAACTCCCTGGAGTTCTTCCAGCAGGACTACCATTCCAGTAGGGATGCTTTCCATTCTAGATCCATGACAGGATTCTCAGCTTTTTAATATTGCCAATGTATTCAATGGAAATCAGAGTCCTTGACTGAGGAAGGCACCCAGAAAGTCTTTTTTTCTGAAGTTGTTGTCCTGAGTATTCACCACCTGCTTTGAAACACACGTGCTTTGGCTGAAGAGAGATTTTAACTACTCTGAATGTTAACTGCTTTATCCAAATACCCAGCAGGAGGCAAGGAAAGAAACTCCTCCTCTGTGGGGAGTCTCACCTAGTAGGAAGTGTTCTCTGAAAACATGGATTAGACTCAACTCTGCAGCTGAACTACACGGAGAGCTCCTGCAGAGACTAACAGAGCTTAACCAGGGTTCAATGCACTCACCCTGGCCAGGGAGAGGAGGGAAGTACATCTATCCAGCAGCAGATGTTCGGATGCTTAGTGACCTGTGGGAAAACACTTGGGAGAGGCAAGGGCACTTAGGCAGCTGCATGGTGTTTGTGGAATTTAAGGAATCCCAGCTCATGTCCTAGTCTTTTCTCCTTGCTCATTTGCAATGAGTGCAGAAAAGGAAAAAAAAAAAAAAAAAAAAAAAGGAGGAGCAGGAGGATTTCTCCCTCAGATATTCTTTCAGCATTCCTCAGGCTTCACCCTGTGTGTCTGCTCCAGCCTTCACTAAAGGATTTTATTGTAAAGCAGCAATGCAGTGATTCCATAGCCTCTGAGACATATTCAGGTTTTTTGCTAGCAAATAAACTCACAAACATAATAAACATTCTTTATGAATCCTCATCCTTTCCTTAGGAGGATGAATTTTTAGCCTGTTTTCTATGCATCTTACATGCAAAGTTTCCACAAGTGCAAATGCTCCAGTTTTTTTTCTGCCTTCTTGGGCACGGGGGACAATCCTGTCTTGTTTTTGTCCCTAAAAGTATTGACTGTATTAGACAGTGGGCACGTGCTTTCGAAAGAAAAGCACCATGAATGCTTGCATGTCCCTGTATTATCGGCCACGTGCTCCATCCCTGGGAGACAAACGGGCCACTGAAATGCGGCTGGCCTGGACGTCCCACATACCAAGCAGATGCAAGCAGAATGCCATAGGGAAATAAGAAACACATTGTATGTGATTTAAAAGGCTTACAGCTATGGAATATCCCTCTGAAAGCCTAATGAACATCTCCAGCACATAGACAATCAAAGTGCAAAACGCGCCCTGCATCGGGATACAAAACCACGGAACTGGAGATAATCTCAGAAGAGACCCACAAAATAAATCTACTGACAGCAGCACCTATAAATCATGCCACTCCAGCACTTGGGTTGTCAAAATGTCTCCAGGCTCAGGATTTTCTGTGGAGAGGAGGCTGTCCTCACAGATTCTTTTTTAATTTTATGCCTTCTGTTTGCCTCTAGAGTGAGCTTGTGTCCTGGGTTTGGGGTTTGTGTTTGTTTTGCTTTCTTTCTCTCCTAATATGTCCCAGACTGACTTTGACAAAGTTAGTGATTAGAAATTCAGATTTCTTACCACAAGGCTGGGAAAAAAATACATACAAACACTTGTTCAAGTGATTGAAAATACAGGCATTTTTAAACCTGGTGACTGTTGGGGTGATTGGATCAATGTTTGGATATAGTGGGGATAATATCTAGGAAAAAGGAAGGGGGAAAAGGGTAAATCTCTCAGGATTAATCTTCTGGGGGTACATTTTTGCACAGACCTCCCTACTTATGACACCTATGAGCTCTTGTAAGTAGATTTGCAGAGTTTCCACCAAAAGCTAAGCTGGCAAAGGAAGAAGCAGTTAGTAAGATAATTTCATCCCTCATTCTCAAAGGGAAACAGGTCTGAAACAATTCCTTCTAGAAATGTGTCAATTCCCAAGTGGAGGAATAGCTGGTGTTAAACCTGTATTGTGAGGTGAGAAGCAGCATTACGCAGGCCGGGCTCAGTGGCTTTCTATCCACAAGACTTATTGTAACAAGAGCTTAGAACTGTCTACTCTGCAGTTTGAACCCAAATAGCCTTAATTGTGTTATTCCTGCTGATCCCTGTGTCCCATGCCTTGCACAGAGGAGCTCTGACACACTTTAAGGAGCAGAAACTATTCCAATTCTGCTCCTCCATAGACTGCTGAATGTTTGTAAGACTTTGGAACATGCACAGCATAACATTTTTGTATGCAAATTCTGGAGGGTGTCTCAACTCTGGGGACAAAACTCTGGGAAAACAACACCATAAAAACAGCAGCACCAATATTCCTCTGGTTGGTCCTGCATGGACAGATGAACAAGGCTGCCAGGAACAAATGATGCACTTTGACACATAAAAGAGGAAGAGTGGTGACAGATAGACAAGGACTAGGCTGAGACTCAGGAGACCAGGCTGAGAAATTTCAGCACTTACTCCTGCTCCACCACTGAACTGCTGCAGAACCTGGGAAACTCAAATTGCTTCTGTTTTCTTGCCCATTCATAGTATAAACTCCTGAGGGTGATGACTGTCCCTTGCTGTACTACTGCAGTTGAAGCAGTAACATGTAAATAACTTAGACAAGCCAACCAAATCTGCTGGTGGAAGGGTGCAGATGGGCATGTAAAGAGATATGGGTGAAAGAATGTGAAGGAGCAGAGAAGCCAGGGGGAAAGAATGGCCTGAAATGAAAAATTAAAAAGTGAGAAAAGGGAGTTAACAAATAGCAGAAGAGCACAGACAGAACATAGTCATTCCAAAATCAGCTGATGCCTGCTCTTTCCCACTGTCCAGAGGGAGATTTCAAAGTGGTTTAAACACAGAAGTGAGCAGGGAAACCATCCTGCCCTTCACCAGCCCTCTGCTAATCCCACTTCCCCATTCATGAACTCCTAAAAAACCTTCAGTAATCTGAACCTGTAAAACAGTTGGTTTAAGGTAGTGGAACCTCTCCTTAAGGACCCAGCACAACCATCTCCCCAGCACACCACTCTGCCAGCATTTATTAGTCCTCCAGAGGTCATCTTTTACCTGTGCTAATATAATTCTGCTAAAACCTTCTGGCTGTCTGGGGCCTGGCTGTCTTCAGCAGCACGCCAGTGTGAAATATTTATGGATTAAAATAAAATTAAAATGCAATTTTCAGGCATTTTGAGAGGAAGTCTTGAGCTCTACTTGTGGCTAAGTGATAGACTCTAGAAGGTTTTTTTAGTAACAGCTGAGAGGCTCAGAATACTGTGACAGAAGGTAAAGTCCATGGAGAGGCCCAAGCTAATGCATTTTCAAGTCAGTGGAAATATTTCTCTGTCTCTCTGAATGTTGAATTGGTCTGCAAGGGACTGGATGACATCCAGTTGAGGCCCATAGTTACCAGAAGTTGCTACCAACCAATGACTACTCAGAGGGTCACATTAAGCAAGAAGATGGCTGCAGAACATGTTTAGTGACCAATGGCTGCAAACACAAAATATTTTTCATTCTTTGCAGTGATCTGAGGTCAAAAGACCAGGGAGGAAAAGGCATGAAGGCAATAATAATGAATTTATCAGTCCACACCTGCTCCCACCAAGGGATCTGGAGGAACAGTGAGATGTAAACCCCATTCTGTTTCCCAAAAGATCCAGGGAGCTGCAGGCTGGAGTCACTGTGCTGATCAGGCTGACTCCCTTTACCAGCAGTGAACTGCTGCTTTAAAATAAAAATCCAAGAATGGACCTATAACTAGTACACTGCCAAACATAACTGAGATTTCTTAGAATCTGCTCTCACTGTGAGTTTTGTGTAAAATGTTTCCCAAGATGTCTTTGTGTGGCTGTTAGTTATTGCAGTTGATGTGCTGTGAAAGATTTTTAATGGCAAGTCAGAGTGTTTCCTGAGAACTTTCTGTTATGGACAGATCTTAAGTTAAACTGGGAAAACAGAACAACAACAAAAAGCAATAATGAGGCTATAAAGGAATGGGGAATAGTCCTGGTTTCCACCTTCACTGATAATTAGTCAGAAACACAGACTTTAGGTTCAGCCTGAAGGAAGACTCTGGAATAAGAACTGCAAAGGATCAAAGGGATTCTTCAGCCATTTTAAATCTTTAGTGAGAAAGCTAAACTAAACACTGCAATGCATTTTCAGAATAAATTGTCTAGAGAAATAATGGAATTTTTAATTTTAGAGATTTCTCAGCAAAGACCAGGCTAATGCTTGCTAGGAACAATTTAGGTGGTGCTGATGCTATGGTGGAGCAGGGGAATAGACCAGGAGACCTCTTCAGGTCTCCTGTAAATTTATCTTCTTGTATTCTGTGCCTACAAACAGGAGTGTTTGCCAAGAACATGCTAAACTTGGGAAGGTGTGCAGTAATGTTTTAAATCCATTTATATACAAACTAAAGTTTAAGAAAATATACATATGAGATGAAGAACTGCAAATGAAAGATGACAGAGAAATAACACACAGGCATTTGAAATGTGGGCCGAAAATAAAACAGGATTCAGCCTGGAAAATGCATGCTAACATACTTGGGGAAATATAATCCTAAATAATATCCTCAGTGGGAAAGCAAAACCTGGAAATCATTTATTTTACAAAGGAATCTTTGGGCTGATTGAGGACAGTGAATCAGATAGATGCGTTTTAAGCACCACCGTAACAGCTGGAGCTCAGCTGGAACTTCCAAATTCAGATTTGCTGCTGCTGCAACCTGAAACACACAAATAAATCCCCCAGCACTCACAGTAAGAGTCTACCAGCTGATTTACAGTTTGATTGAAAATGTGAGTCTCAGAAGCTTCAGCTGGAGACCATCAGCTGTGCCTGGAGATAGGGCCTGATGAAAATCAGGTTGAACACTGTTTCCAGCAGAGCAAGGAAGCAGGTACCTCCCATCCCTCCCCAATTTACGTGTAGTAAGGCAGTTTGAGGAAGATCTTGACTCCCTGACATTAGTAAAGATTAAAATTCCTCTTGTTGGCTTCTAGGAACAAAGAATTGTACCAATACTGGATGTTCAAAATTTTTGAGAGTAGTTGGAAGAAAATACTAGGCAAGAAGTGGAAAAGAATCCAAGTGATGAGGTAAATCACAGAAAACAGAATGAAGCAAAAAACCTCCACCACATACACAGATATTGACAAGAAGTCCTGCAAATTATTAGACACAGTATCTTTTACCTGCCTTGGCTACTAGTTCTGTTCCCTACCTTTCTGTTCAAAAAGATATCCAAATCCCTTGAGGAAAATTCCTTCACCACCTGATAAGAGCAATCCATTCCAAGGCCCTTGCAAGGGACCTTAAAATGCAGTTAGACAGAGATGACAGAAATCCTACACCTCACCTGCTATATGGGTGGCAGCACTTTTTACCCAGTTACAGAGAAAAATAACAGTCTAATTTCAGAGACTTATTTCCACAGACTCCAGGAGCAATAATTTTGGTGTCAATGTTTTCTTTAACACAGTTTTCCATTCTGTCAGTGGCACACTCAGCAGCTCCTGCCATAAGCACAAGTCCAAGCTGCTGATGGCAGCGAAGGGAAAGTCTGTGCTGCGTGGGAGATCTCTGGACTCCCACAGTGAATGTGCACATTTTAGTGCAGGAGTTCAATGTCCATTACCAGATACTAAAATAAGCTTGGTTCCCTCTGCCTCCAATACTCACTTTGTGGTTGTTGTGTTCTTTCCTAACCATTCCAGCTGGATGGTCCCGTGGGCTCCTGACTGCTCCTACCTCTCCACGTGGCAGGAAACAGAAGGTGATGTTTCCAAAGGAACTGACCCACAACCTTGGAAGTCTGTTGCCTGGTTCTGGTGAGATGCAGCCATGGAGTAAAGCAATCCTTCCCCTTCTTCCTCCTCTTGTTACTGTTTCTCTATCCAAACCGAGCTTTAATTAGATATCTCTTAAGCCTTTGTTAGCTTAATGTTTGTCTCCTGGCTGTGCAATGTTCATAAAACAACACAGGTGACTGGCCAGGGTCAGCTACAAAGTACACAGATATAAATCTTGATGAAGAGGAGCAATTACTTACTTTACCTCTGTTATTTTGCTTATGCTTTCTAGTACATTTCTAAATAAATGCCCTTCTTGATTTAATATTTAAAGATCTCTTGTACAAGCAGAGAGCATTTTATATGTCTATTCATATGAAATCTTGTAGTCTGTAGTTATGTTTCTTCATTCAAAAAAATCACATTCTGTAGACCTCTATCATGTCTTCTAAATTCATTGTTTCGGTATTTCTGGTAAAGTAGTTTCTTGCACTAGATTTACTGTTCAAGGAGCAATCTTTTTGATTGTATGAGTCCATGAGTTGGGTATTTGGAACACATAGTGAATCAGCAACAAGGGTGAAAATGTTTATGAGCAACTCATAATATTTATAGTGTAAATATTTCTTTGTTACATGGCACTGCTCTTAGAATGTTTCAGAAACATTTCTGAATGTAAACATCTTAATTAATGCAATAAATTTTAAAAGCAAATATATTTGTTACCTTCAAAGTTAGACCCAGTGAATTTTTTGGGGATACACCATATAAAATAAATATAAATATAAAATAATTGTGCTGAGCTAATTGAATAATAATATAAAATAATTGTGCTGAGCTAAAATGATGGATTTTGCTTTATTCCTGTTAGTTAGGGTGGATATTAGGAAAAGGGCACTGGAACAGGCTTCCCAGTGAAATGGTCACAGCCACAAGGCCAGGAGAGGTCAAGGAGTGTTTGGACAATGCTCTCAGGCACAGAGTGGGGTTGCTGGAGTGTCTGTGCACGGCCAGGTGTCGGACTCGATGGTCCTGACAGGTCTCTTCCAACTCTAAGATTCTTCACAGGATTATTCAGGTAACCCAGTATGTTCCCTAGTGGGGTTTTGCCAGTATTGTGGTTTGTTTCATCAACGACTGGATTTCCAGATCTTCTACTTTGCAAAGAAAAAATCCTCTTCTGTTTTTATTAACTTCCACATTAGCATTAATGCAACACTGAACGTGTCATTTTTGGGCTTCTGCCTTTCAGGTTCTGATTTGCATGAATCTGGTTCTTCAGCTTTTTTTTTTTTTTTTTTTAGTGGATATTGACATCTTTTGAAAAATGTTTGGAAAGTGCTACTATCATGGGACCCCTGATAAGACAAGCCAAAGGCAATGGGACCTGCTTTGCCAGCATTGCCACCTTCTGTTACTTCCTTGCTGGTATTCTTTTGCTATATTAGTTGACAATCTATGGGCAATAATGCAGTCACAATTAAGCCCACTAATCTAGTAACAATATGGCTACACCCCAAATTTCTGAACTCCAGGGCACATTCTTTAGTGATCTTTTTTCAGTTCCCTTCTTGCTTGTGATTTTGAATACTGGATGCATTGCTGTTGATGTTCAAACTCTTGATTAATAATGTAGTTGCCACTGCATCTGCACAGCTCATTTTATTCATTTGGCAACATTTCAGTCCTTATTGCTGCAGTTCTCAGCCTTTGCATCAGTTCTTGAACCTGTTTTCACAGAAACATCTGTTAGGTGTTATCTCCTTCAGGGTTTTGCTCTAACAATGAAATTGATGCATCATTGCTTGTACAGTTTCTGCAGCCTTACAATTGCCTGGGGGGAACAGAGTTTGCTTTGCTGAAGAAACAAAATCTGAATTACCCAAGAGCTTGTCTGCTATGTCACATAAGCTTTTTGTACAGGAGTCTGCAAAGTCTGAAACCACAGCCCTAGTAATGAGTTTTCAGCACAATACAAACTTTAATTGAATCTTTCCTGACCTCATGTTCTTCCATGAGACCACTGTGAGTGCAACCTCATTATTTGCATAAATTAGTATCTCTTTGCTTAAACCATTTGCAAAATTTGTCTTGGGCAAAACATATTTGTGGTGGCATTTTTCCTTCTCTTGTTGTCCTATCCTTCTCTTGTAGAAAAGTTCATTTCTATTGACAGATTGGTTTATTGCTTTACAAAAATGTCTTTTTGGAAGGTGGAGTCTCTTCATATTTAGTCTCTTTTATATTGACACAAGTAACATTTGCTGATGGACTATTTTTATCTTTATTTGTACCCATTCCAAGAGATTTATGACCAGGCTTTCCAAAAACAACAAAACATGGGTCAGGGCCATCTGACTTTTCATTAGTCTCTGTATGTGCCATTGCAATGACAAGGTTACAGGGTCTGTTGGGATAAAAGGAAACCTCTTCTACCTCTCAGTTGCATTTAAGTAGTGGCCTCATCCTCTGTGCTTCTTTGGATTTGGAGTGGTTTCTGTGTTCCAGTGAAATTCTGGTGGCATCCACACTTAATATGTTCACCACAGACACTGAATCCTCCTGGTGATCTGCTGCATTGTTGGAAACTCTGCCCCTCAGCAGATGGTTGTCCTGAATTTCCATCACCCATATGCTTTTCAATGCTGAATGAACACCTTCCAGGGTGTTTTTGAAAGCAGCTCAAAAATTGGAGTGGATCAGATTCTTGAATCAGCCTCAGGAAAAAATAAAATGGAAATGTATAATTATTCCTTATCCACATCTCTGTCTCTTGGCACAAAGGCTCTTTCCATGTTAAAAACTTCTGTGTGAGTACCAGGTGAAATTCTGATTGGTCTTGCATTAGTAAGATATTCATCTCAGAGAGATGCTGTCAGTGATAGCAATTAGCCCCAGCAGTGGCAGAAATTACTTGAATATGAATATGAATGAAGATCAGCGGTGTTCATCATCATGCCACTAAAACCCACCTTATTTCTTCCTATTTTCCTGATGTTACTTCATAAGTGATGGTTACTGCTACTCCATGGGCTCTGTCAAGGAGTAGTATTCCAGGAATCCAGCAGGGAGCAGGAGAGGATCGTTTTGCATCCACCAGCTCTTGGTGAAACCCTAACAATGAAGGTCAAAGGAAATGATTAATTTGTTATTGGGTTTGGAATGAAAGGTGCTATTCCATAGGGGAATATTCACCTGCTGAAATTCTGTTGGATAAAGGAAAAGAGGGAGGAAGCACCTGTGGAATGAACAGGTGGACTTTTGGTGGATACAGGGGAAGACATGGGAAGGGGCTCTTAGGTACATGAGTACCACCCAGAAAAGTCAATTTTTCCAAGCTCAGACATTCCAGAGGGGTAACCAGTGATTAGCACATCCATTTCTATATTCCTTGGATGCCCAGTGCTTTGGTTGGGAAGAGATAATATTTGGAAATGAACAAATCCAGGGATGTAATTCCTGATAGTAAAGCCCTGGGGACCCAGGTTTTGATATTCTTCCAGCAAACAACCCAACAGAGGGAATCCTGGAAGAGGTGGAAAACACTCACTCTGTTGATGGAATTCCTGGGAAATGGAAAGCAGCAGAAACTGGAAGAGCAGAGCTGGAACCAGACTGCAGCTGGGTAAGGCAGACACCAAATCCTTTGGAATTAGAATTGGGCACAGGTGAGAAGAACTAATTGCTAAATTTATACCCCATATATTCCTGAGCAGGATCCCAGCAGGAAAACTCCATGGGAAGATCCAGACTGGGGACTGTTCCCAGATGGGAAGAGTGAGCCTTGGAATTGTCTGAAGGACAGCACAAGGATTAGCTGTCAAATGTGGAGATGTTATCAGACAATTACTCAGGGGTGTTTAGTTCCCAAGGCAAGTCCATCCCCTGTCTTTTGAAGTTCAGAAATCTGGGAAGACACCAAGTAATGTAGGGAATTGACTGGCAGATAAAACTGCTGGGGAATGGTAGGGAAAATCATCTTATTAGGGACTTGTTTTGTATAGGAATCATGCAAAAGTTGTCCAAAAGGACGGGAATCAAATTGGATTGACATATTCCTTGGAGACCACAATCCAGTGGGAAAGCTGAGAGAGGGAAACAAAGCCTAAAAAGGCAAATGAGCCAAATCTGCCAAACCCCTCAAATGGGTACATTCCCTGGCATTGCTGAGGAATTCAGGCAAGCTCCAAGAAAAAGGTGAGCCCATAATGGAATCCTTTATAGGAGACCATATCCAGCTATGACCCTTCCTGGGGAAAGCCATGGGATAGTTTATCCCAGTTTCACAGAATATGTCATTTCCTTGGGAAAAACACTTTGCATAGCTTTATTGTTTAGCCTAACCAGTAACCTGGGATATCCAAGTCCATCCTCCCCAGTGGGGAGACTGGGAGCACGTCTGGACATGGAGAATTTCAGGGAGAGCCCCAGAGAAGAAAGAAGGCTCCAGCTTTGTAGGTCTGTGTGATAACCCAGCCTGTCAGCCACTCCTCCTTGATCCCAGTGGATTTGTCCTCTTGTATTCAACCTCAGCATCACTAATTGCTGGGAATTAAGCAGTCTTTGGTACTTCTTTTTCCATAAAACCTCTCCATCCTGCCCTTCAATCCTGTTGTGCACAGAGGAAAAATCCAACATTCATTTTTTCCCTTCTCCCCTTCACTTTGCCTCCTCTTTTCCTGCAGGCTTTGGGCTATCCAGTCTTGGATGTGGATTAGGCAGAGCACCTTGGAAGCTCAGCTCAGGGTGGGATTGGAGCAGTGTTAGAACCACCATGGTTTCTCCCAAGGTTTGGTGTGAGGAGATACATCTTGGGAGGGGCTGGGATTTTGTGCTGTTCTGGGCTTTTTTTTTTTTCTTTTTTCTTTTTTTTTTTTTTTTTTTTTTTTTGTTTTTCCTTTTGGGCCACCTCAGAGGAAAAGCTGGAAACCAAACCAACTGAAGGGGATTCCCAAATTCCTTTCCAGACCTTCAGAGGAGGCCCAAATCCACATGGAGCTGAGAAAAGGGATATGAGGACAATGGGAATAACTGAGCCTCAGGACTCTGCAGTTTATTATTTTAATGTGTTTGGAGGTGCAGGAAAAATCAAATCACAAAGAAATTCTGTGTCTGTAACATCAAGTACAACCTCTTTAAAGTCAAGTCCTCAAAGTGAGGTTTTCCCCAGCATAAATCCAGATGTGACATGGAAAATCCTGAGCAAGAATTTCCAGCCTTGACTATACAGCTGTTGGAAAAGCTTAATAGCCAAACAATATCAAATTTATAACAGATTTGTATCAAGTGTAGTGTTTATATCTGGGACCACTCAGTTCCCTGGGTGTGAAAGCCTTTCAAGTAGCAAAGCTAAGCCATTTTTGAGAATTCCAAGTGTTGTGTCTCCAAGATTCTTAATACAATATTTAAATAATTAATATTTAATTGAGATAATGTAAAGTGGATTTGTTAGAATGGCAGAAATGTTTTTTCACCTGGAACTGTGTTAGGATAATCAACATGCCTTATATCAGAATTAATTGGTCCTCCTTCTTTTCTTTCTAGATTGTGGATAACTGGGGAGAATATTTGGGATAAAGAAATTAAATGCATTTTGTGCTCCCAAGGGACCAGTTTTAGCCAGCTTTAGTCAGGTTTCTTTTTCACAGATTTCTTGTTGTTTTGATCAGGAAATCACAAAAAACTTAAGTTTTCTAAATTAACCCTGAAAAGCTTCAATGAACAAATCCTGACGGAATTGGGGATTGGATATCTGGGATCTTACGGGCCTTCAAGGCCATATTGGGTTTACCTACTGATTTTGGTTTGAAACTCCAAGTTAAGAATAGTAAAAATATGAATCAGTTCTCATGAAACTCAGCTTTCCAAAACTTTATTTAGGATCAAAAAAGATGGGAATTCAGACGGGAATTCCTTTAGCAGAAAAGCACCTGGGAAGCAAAGCAGACTCAAAATGCCTGTAAGAAGATTACAGAAAATCATCATGTATATATATATATATACATATATATATATACACACACATACAGATAAAGTAGATATTTTATAGCAGTTGCAGGTAAACTGTCAGGGATGGGTTTTTGAATATTTTTTTTTAACTAAAGTATTCTATTTAGTATTTTATAAAGAATATGAAAGTATTCTATAATTATGCATGTGATTTTTGACATTTAATATAGAGGACTAAATCTCTTGCTAGTTTTAGAGTACTGCATTGGAAGGCTATGTGCTTTCTCCTCTTCCTTTCCCTGTGCCAGGAAAGTTCTTAGGAAACTTCTGTTATCTATAAGAAGGTTGTAACATCAGAACTGCTGATTTCAGTGCCTTTACTGAACTTGATATATTATCTGTATTATTATTTAGATTCATTGTTTTAGACAGAACTGGGGGGTTGGAAGAGAAAATTTAAGAAAAATGTTGTGGAGAAGGGGCAGAGAAATAATCTAGAGAGCCAAATTTAGGGTTGAGAGCCATCAGTCTGCTGGCAGGAAATGGTGAAGGAGATCAACTGGTGCTGAGCACGCGTGTTCTGTGGGTTTGTCCCAGCCTGACGAGGGTGTGGGGGACACTCTGCACCCCAGCCAGGGCACTCTCAGAGTGCAAAAATGGAAATATGTGCCCAAATTGCCTCTGGAGGCAGTTTTTGCTGTCTATCCTCCTGCAACTGTGTCTTCTGAAAATTCAACCCTTTTATTCATTGTGCTGTACAAAACACTTCTCATAATTCCAGGAAGCAGATGATACTAAAACTTGAAGGAATTTGAATGTGGTGAAACAAGATATCCTTTCTTCTCCAGTGTGAGGTGCTTGATGTTGGGAAATACTAAAAAACAAGAAAATGGTTATAGTTGAGTTGGTCTCTCTTTATTTATTAACCCCTTTTTTTTTTTTTTTTTTTTTAACAGAGGAGTAAATGGGAAGGTTACAGGAGCTAAAGCTGGATGTAATAAATTCCTAAACCTTAATAACAAAAGAAGCTTCTTTAATGGAGAAGTTAACAGTCCTGTGAGGGGATTATTTTTTTAACTCAGAGTAAGTACAGACTGCAGAACCATGAAATGCCACCTGAAGGAGCCTAAGTCAAATTGGACTTTTAAATCATTTTCTCACGTTGTTGTTCCTGTTTTTAACCTCAAGGGCTGACTGACACTGTCATCGTTCTCCAGCGTCTCAGCCATCCCAGCAGAGCACTGGGTGGATCCTTCTGTCTCTGCTGGAGGTTCAGCTTCACAGCCCAGGGGAGGAGTCACTGCTGGGGCAGAAGTCACAGAGTGACTCTGCTGCTCCCCAAGCTCCTGCCAGGATTGTGGACACAGGTAGAAATTATGGGAAAGAAAGTGACTCAGTTGAGCTGTTTTGTTCTGAAATTGTGTTTGTTAGGGAAAAAAGGTAAGGATGAGAAATCTTGGGCTGAATAGATTTTTTTCCATGAAATACCAAAAGCAATATTGGGAAACTTACTGTTTCTGTTGGTAATGGCTATATGCTCCTGCACTTATCCTATTAGTTTTCCTTTCAAATATCAGAAATTCAGAGACTCTTCAAATTGAATTGTCTCCCGTCCATGGTATTTCCTTGGTTGTTTTTCAAAACAAAAATGCTTGGTCAGTAATAGTTAAAAACTCTTGAAATGCATTTTTTCACGACCAATGAAAATGCTGTATGACAGGCAAGGAACACAGCCAGGAGAAGGTGATGCATTAATTCTTGAGTGGAGATGAACCTGTTGTCCGTAGTGGGGAAGCTTCTCTGCCCCTTCAGAGCACAGGGACTGAGTTTGGCTTGATTGGAGCCAAGGCAGTCCAGGCTTTCCCTGCCTGCTTAGGTGGGGTGGGCACCTGTGACACCGGAGCTGGGGAGGAACTTCAACCCTTCTGAGGGCTGACCCCCTTTATTGTTCCAGCAGAGCCCTTTTGGGGGAATGTACACTTGTAAATTGTTAAAGCAACGTGCTGCTGCCCAGGGCAGTTTGACTCTTTTTGACTCACCCTTCTTCGGGGGTGAGGAAAAAAGGCTGGGGAGGATGTGGGGACAGGGCGGCTGCCTCCCAAAGATCCGAACGGCCAAGGATGTGTCCCAGACCCAACCTGCCCTCACCTCAAACTTGTGCTGCCCTGACACTCCCAAGTGCATCCTGCAAGCTGACATCAGGAACCTGGGGTGGTGAGTTTTGTGCCACAAGGAAAAGGGTCGCTGTTTGTGTTCGGGTGCTCTGATGTCATTTGGGGCACCCCAATGTCCCTGGGAGAGCCACGATGCTGTGGAGGAGCAGGTGAGTGGGGAATCCTCTGGGTGCCCTCACCCAAAGGGACACAAAACTGCCAGAAAATTCACAGGGAGGGGGTGTGTGTAGAATGCTGAAACCTGTCAAGTTTTTCATTTATATATATATTGACAGGTAATACTAATTGATATAAAAACACATTTCAAAATAAACCCTATCTAATATATTATATACAGGAATGTAAGACACTCCTGAGTAGCGATCCGTAGGCTTTGAACGTAATGACATAACGTTTTTATATACGAATGGAACAATCCAAGTGCCTGAAAACACAAGAAAAGATGATGGGGTGAAGGAAATAAAAAGGGCTCTGTGCCTCTCCCTTCTCGCTCCCCGGCTGAGCTGTGCGGTGCTGCTGCCGCCTGGCGGCTGAGACCGGCACTGCTGTCCCTGTGTCCCCTGCTGTCCCTGTGAAGGGCAAGAGCCGGGACGGAGCGAGGCGATGTCTGGAAATCAGAGTGAAGGAGAGTTTGGTGTGCGAACAGCCAGGGCCATGAGCGGGATCGCGGCCGATAGAACGGCAGCCGTGGCACCGGTGCCGGGGACAGCACGGATAGAGCCGCCCGTGTGCCACTCTCAACATGGCGGCGCCACAGGGACACCGCACTCCGCCACTCCCAAGATGGCGAAAGCGACAAACCCCACGTGACGCGGCGCGACACACGGCCGGTCGGGGTTGAGCCACACTCAAAATGGCGGACGTGGCAGGACAGGGACAGACGCGTCCCTGTGTCTGCCTGCTGCCGTTCGCACAGCCCCCGCCGCCGCTGACCCCACAGCCCGTGTCCCCACACCGGGAAACACCGCGAAAAGAGCTGGGTTGACTTGGGAATTTCAGGCATCCAAAAAACAGACGCCTCTGCGAGGAGCAAGGGGAGCCTTAAATGTACCACAACAAAGATGGCGGTTTGGCACACTACCTATTGACCTTCCAAAGATGGCGGCATCGCGCGCATGCGCATTGAATAGGCAGGATGGCGTCCCGGACCTCCTCTATCTTCGGCTGCCTCAACGCGATCCCCGACCCGACCCGGCTCTTTCAGCGCGATTTTCCGCGGCATTTCCCGCTGTGGGGACACGGGATGGGGACACGGGCTGTGGGACACGGGAGCAGCAGCAGGATGCGGCTCCTCTCTGAGGTGAGGGTGGCGGCCGGGGCTGCAGGCAGGGTTGGCCGGGCAGGGAGAATTCTCCTGGCAGCAGCTCCCTGGGGAAACTCGGGATGAGGGGGTGGGAGCTGTGGGGGTGTTCTGTCCCCGGGAGCTGCTGGAATGACAGCTGGCAGCAGCTTTGTGTGTGTGTGAACTGGCAGCCAAATCAAATCTTGATCAGATTTGTACCAAATGTGGTGTTTGTATCTGGGAGCGCTCAGTTCCCTGCGTGTGAAAGCCCCTGAAGCAGCAGAGCTGAGCAGTTTTTGAGCATTCCAGGTGGGCTGTCCTGCAGAGGGAGAGAGGGCCGTGGATCCCCTGTTCGCTGGGAATTCTGTGGGACCACATGAAGGAGATAAGCAAAAGGAAGGGAGAGAAAGGGATCGAGCTGAGGGATTGCTTAGACACGCTTAAATGTTCTTCCTCCTTCCCAGGAAGGATTTCAGCCCTCGTTTCAGTGCAATCCCTTAGGGCTGGGAAGAAGCCGGCAAGCCAGAGCTGTGGGGTTTGGTCGGGGGCATTCCTGGGGCTGTCAGACATCTCTGGAAGCGTGGAAGGAAGGAAGGAAATGCTGCTTTAGGGCTGGCACAGCAGCACCCAAAGGCTCCCTTGGTGTGATCCCTGCCTGCCCCAGATGCCAGGGTAGGGAATTGAAAAGCAGGCAGAACCGACTGGAAATCTGTGGGGTTTTCATCAGGCAGTGCTGAGCTGCTGACACAGAATTCTGCAGGAAAAGTGAGTTTGGATGTTTCTATTCTGATATGTATTGGGAAGAGAAATGCATCAATAGGGTAGCTTGGGACACCAGAATATATGATTCTCAAAGCTGAATTGGCTTTTTGTTTGAAGAGAGACAAAATGAATATGGTAGATTTGTTGAAATGATGAAAAGGGTGGAATGAAAGGTTCTTTTTGACCCAAACTGAAAAGGCTTTTTTGTTTGTCTGGAATTAGGGAAATTTAGCAGATCTCACTTTTTTTTTCCCCTTCTCCAGCTGAGTGAAGTGTTATGTTTTTAATTCAAAAAGGGTTTGCTGTATATGTAATATTTCAGCTGTAATTCCACAGCGGGGGAGAGCTTGGAGCAGTCAAACTGAATCCAGCATGCCAGGGAGGGAGCGCTGCCCTTGTCCGGCAGTGCCCTGAAGGCCTGGAAGGGGAAGAAATCCCAGTTAGGCTGGAATTCCTTTTTGTGGCACCCAGAAGGTAACTGAGTCTGGAGGGAGGAGTCTGAGTGTGTGCTTTGTGTGCGCCTGGACTGTGCAAAGGGAGCTGTGCCAAAGGCTGTGCTCCTGCTGGAGCTTTCAGGACACTTGTCTGCAGCCAAGAGCCGAGGTGTAAATATCTCCAGTACCAAGGGTTGGCTCTTGGTGCTCATCTGGGGTCTCCTGGCTGGAAAACTTGTTCAGGCTGCACTGAAAAGAGTAGGAGCACAGCAGGGAAAATGTCTGTCCCAAGGCTGTCATCCTGGCAAGTTAACAATTCACATGGAATTTTTCTTTTCTTACATGTTTACCCATAAGGAAAATTTGCTGTTGAGCATGAGAAAGGCAGGGAAACAGTGAAAACATCTATCCCAGGAGAAGAGAGATCTCTCCTGTGAGCTGTGCTTACACTGGCTGCTGTCTGGGGAGATGCCACCTTGGGAAAAAGCACCAAGATTCCATCCTGCTATTTATGGTGTGCCTGTGCTGAGGCAGATGGAAATGTTTCCCTTGGGTCACTAAAACAGATTCCAATCTTCTCATGGAAACTAAATTCTCCTTATTTTTCCCAGCCTCACAGAGAACACTGGAACTGGAGAAGAGAAATGATCCTAATTCTTTCCCTGCTCCACACTGCATCCATACCACTTGATGGTGCCACCAGGACCTCTGATGGGGCGCATGAGAAAAATAAGTTATTCTGCTGATATAATTGGATTCTAGGTATTTTGCTATGGGTTTGAACTCCTTTGTAGAAAAGCTTATAAGTCTTTTAGATTAGAACAGAAAGCCATGGAAAACAGCCTAGCTTGAAGGGTTTTTAATAAATAAAGTGGCAGGACTTCTCTGTCTCCTTTATGGACACCGGCTTTTCATACAGTGATTTTCTGTACAGGAGAAAATGAAGTATTTTCCTTTAAAACAAGGTGGATATGGAAACTTCTTTGCTAAATTCTTACTTGTGTTCTGGGAAAAAACCCAAAACAATCCAAAAATACTAACAGGTGTCCTTTTTCCCCCCTCCCTCCCAGCAATGTGGCACAAATTCCAGTGATGGGGAAAGGCTGGAAGAAGCTGGATTTCACACAGTGGAGGCCGTGGCTTTTGGAACAGAGAAGGAGCTGCTGAACATTAAAGGCATCAGTGGAACCAAAGCTGAGAAAATCTCGGTAAGGATGTTCTGGAACTTTAACCCAAGATATTCCACAGGTTTATTTCTGCTGGCTGGAAGCAGTGTGGTGAATTTTGGTAAAGGTGATTGGAGGTGTCACATGACTTGTCATGGGAAAAGGTAAAATGCACCAGCACAGGATTGAGCTGAAGGAGAGGATATTTCCATAAAACACACAAAAAGGATGTTGGAGCTTTTTCTTGGAGCAGAATTTCAGTTCTGTTCAGAGGTACCAACTCTTGCAAGGTCTATGAAATGTGCATGGAATGATACAGGCACCTCTCCACAAGGCAGGAAATATTAATTACTGGGGGTTAATGAATGGCATGAGCTCTCCTGGCACTGCTCACTTGGGTTTTCCCTCAGACTGAGGCAGCCAAACTGGCTCCCAGGGTTTCACTACAGCACAGAATTCCACCTGCAGTGGTCAGAGATCATCCATATCACCACTGGCTCCAAAGAGATGGAAAAGCTGCTTCAAGGTCAGCATTTTATTATTGCTCTTTCCTGCTTAAGCTCATTTATTGGGTGGGGTTTTCCCATGAGCTTAATCTTTGCATGGAACCACGTAGGACAAGTCTTGGTTGGATGAAAAAACCTCTAAAACTGCTCCTGAATAATTGCTTTTATTTTAAAAGCTGCAGAAATACTTTTTAACCCTTTTAGTCATGATGCAAGACTCAGAGCTGTCCAGTTTTGGATGTTTCTGGTTTTTTATGTCTTTGATATGTTTAGGGAAATCAAAACCAGGCATCACCATCTCCCCATTCCTCTGGTAATCCAAAAATGAAAATAAGTAATTTCAGCTCTTCAGCATCTTCAGAAGCACACCTGGACTTCTTATACACAGCATGAGCAAATCTCAGGGTGAAAAGCAGTTTTCCCTCTTAGTTTTGAAACTTTCAGCCAAATTCAGTGTTTAACTGAGTCTCTATACATGTAATACTTTGTAGGTCAGAGAGCCTCATGGATACGTGTTTATAATATGTGGCCTTTTAATTTTTATTAATAATTATTATTATAATTTTCCCTTCAGGAGAAATAGAAGCAGGATCCATAACAGAGTTATTTGGGGAATTCCGTACTGAGAAGACACAGCAGTGTCCCAGCCTGGCAGTCACTGGTCAGGTGGGTGGTTCACCTCATTGCAATCCAATATTCAGACACCACAGCCTTGGGCTATTTGCTAATTTGGACACCTCCCTTGACTTTT